ATCACAGGTTGGATCACAGGTTAGATCACAGGTTGGATCACAGGTTAGATCACAGGTTGGATCACAGGTTAGATCACAGGTTGGATCACAGGTTGGATCACAGGTTGGATCACAGGTTGGATCACAGGCTGGATCACAGGCTGGATCACAGGCTGGATCACAGGTTAGATCACAGGTTGGATCACAGGTTGGATCACAGGTTAGATCACAGGTTGGATCACAGGTTGGATCACAGGTTGGATCACAGGTTGGATCACAGGTTGGATCCCCAGGGTTTGGGTCACAGGTTGGATCACAGGTTGGATCACAGGTTGGATCACAGGTTGGATCACAGGTTGGATCACAGGTTGGATCACAGGTTGGATCACAGGTTGGATCACAGGTTAGATCACAGGTTGGATCACAGGTTGGATCACAGGTTGGATCACAGGTTGGATCACAGGTTTGGGTTCACAGGTTAGATCACAGGTTAGATCCCCAGGTTGGATCACAGGTTGGATCACAGGTTGGATCATGGGGGTTTGGATCACAGGTTAGATCACAGGTTAGATCACAGGTTGGATCACAGGTTGGATCACAGGTTAGATCATGGGTTGGATCACAGGTTAGATCACAGGTTAGATCACAGGTTGGATCACAGGTTGGATCACAGGTTAGATCACAGGTTAGATCACAGGTTGGATCACTGGTTAGATCATGGGTTGGATCACAGGTTGGATCACAGGTTAGATCACAGGTTAGATCACAGGTTAGATCACAGGTTTGATAACAAAGGGTTTGAATTTTAACAGGTTAGATAACAGGTTAGATCACAGGTTGGATCACAGATTGGATCACAGGTTAGATCACAGATTGGATCACAGGTTAGATCACAGGTTGGATCACGGGTTAGATCATGGGTTGGATCACAGGTTGGATCACAGGTTAGATCACAGGTTTTGATCACGGTTAGATCACAGATTGGATCACAGATTTGGGTCACAGATTGGAAACACAGATTGGATCACAGGTTGGGATCCCCAAAGGGTTTGATCACAGGTTAGATCACAGGTTAGATCACAGGTTGGATCACAGGTTGGATCACAGGTTAGATCACAGGTTAGATCACAGGTTAGATCACAGGTTGGATCACAGGTTAGATCATGGGCTGAATCACAGGTTAGATCACAGGTTAGATCACAGGTTGGATCACAGGTTAGATCACAGGTTGATCACAGGTTGGATAACAGGTTAGATAACAGGTTAGATCACAGGTTGGATCACAGGTTGGATCACAGGTTAGATCACAGGTTGGATCACAGGTTGGATCACAGGTTGGATCACAGGTTGGATCACAGGTTGGATCACAGGTTGGATCACAGGTTGGATCACAGGTTGGATCACAGGTTGGATCACAGGTTGGATCACAGGTTGGATCACAGGTTGGATCACAGGTTGGATCACAGGTTGGATTCACAGGTTTGGATCACAGGTTGGATCACAGGTTGGATCACAGGTTGGATCACAGGTTGGATCACAGGTTGGATCACAGGTTGGATAAGGGAAGGAGACTTACAATTTAAAACTATAATTTTTAAGGTAAGTCTTCCTAGTTAATTATCCAAACATAAATAACCGGATCTAATAACTTTTCTTACAGTTCAAGTTAATTATAAAGCAATTTATGGAGCGAACTGTACGATGAGTCTCTCTCTCTCTCTATCTCTCTCTCTTTCCCCCCCGTTTCTGTATCTCTGTCCTCCCCGTTTCTGTATCTCTGTCTCCCCCTCTCTGTATCTCTGTCTCCCCCTCTATCTCTGTCTCCCCTCTCTCTATTTTCTGTCTCCCCCTCTCTCTATCTCTGTCTCCCCCTCTCTCTATCTCTGTCTCCCCGTCTCTGTATCTCTGTCTCCCCCTCTCTGTATCTCTGTCTCCCCGTCTCTCTATCTCTGTCTCCCCCTCTCTCTATCTCTGTCTCCCCTCTCTCTATCTCTGTTCCCCCTCTCTCTATCTCTGTCCCCCCCCTCTCTCTATCTCTGTCTCCCCCTCTCTTATCTCTGTCTCCCCCCCTCTCTATCTCTGTCTCCCCCTCTCTCTACTCTGTCTCCCCCTCTCTCTATCTCTGTCTCCCCTCTCTGTATCTCTTTTCTCCCCCTCTCTGTATCTCTGTCTCCCCCTCTCTGTATCTCTGTCTCCCCCTCTCTGTATCTCTGTCTCCCCCTCTCTGTATCTCTGCTCCCCCTCTCTGTATCTCTGTCTCCCCTCTCTGTATCTCTGTCTCCCCCTCTCTGTATCCCCTGTCTCCCCCTCTCTGTATTTTCTGCCCGTCTCTGTATCTCTGTCTCCCCGTCTCTGTATTCTCTGTCTCCCCGTCTCTGTATCTCTGTATCTCTGTCTTTCCCCTCTCTGTATCTCTGTCTCCCCGTTTCTGTATCTCTGTCTCCCCGTCTCTGTATCTCTGTCTTCCCCTCTCGTATCTCTGTCTCCCCGTCTCTGTATCTCTGTCTTCCCCTCTCTGTATCTCTGTCTCCCCCTCTCTGTATCTCTGTCTTCCCTCTCTGTATCTCTGTCTCCCCCTCTCTGTATCTTGTCTCCCCGTCTTGTATCTCTGTTCCCCCTCTCTGTATCTCTGTCTTCCCCTCTCGTATCTCTGTCTCCCCGTCTCTGTATCTCTGTCTTCCCCTCTCTGTATCTCTGTCTCCCCTCTCTGTATCTCTGTCTTCCCCTTCTGTATCTCTGTCTCCCCCTCTCCCGTATCTCTGTCTCCCGTCTCTGTATCTCTGTCTCCCCCTCTCTGTATCTCTGTCTTCCCCCTCTGTATCTCTGTCTCCCCCTCTCTGTATCTCTGTCTCTCCGTCTCTGTATCTCTGTCTTCCCCTCTCTGTATCTCTGTCTCCCCGTCTCTGTATCTCTTCTTCCCCTCTCTGTATCTCTGTCTTCCCCTCTCTGTATCTCTGTCTCCCCCTCTCTGTATCTCTGTCTCCCCCTCTCTGTATCTCTGTCTTCCCCCCTCTGTATCTCTGTCTCCCCCTCTCTGTATCTCTGTCTCCCCCTCTCTGTATCTCTGTCTTCCCCTCTCTGTATCTCTGTCTCCCCCTCTCTGTATCTCTGTCTCCCCTCTCGTATCTCTGTCTCCCCTCTCTGTATCTCTGTCTCCCCCTCTCTGTATCTCTGTCTCCCCTCTCTGTATCTCTGTCTCCCCCTCTCTGTATCTCTGTCTTCCCCTCTCTTTCTCTGTCTTCCCCTCTTTTGTATCTCTGTCACCCCCCCTCTGTATCTCTGTCTCTCCGTCTCTGTATCTCTGTCTCCCCTCTCTGTATCTCTGTCTTCCCCTCTCTGTATCTCTGTCTCCCCCTCTCTGTATCTCTGTCTCCCCCTCTCTGTATCTCTGTCTCCCCGTCTCTGTATCTCTGTCTCCCCGTCTCTGTATCTCTGTCTCCCCGTCTCTGTATCTCTGTCTCCCCGTCTCTGTATCTCTGTCTCCCCCTCTCTGTATCTCTGTCTCCCCGTCTCTGTATCTCTGTCTCTGTCTATCTCTGTGTTTGTCTATCTCAGTGTGTCTCCCTCCCTGAGAGTGCCGCCAGCCAGCCAGGTGGGCGAGTGTTGAGTGAGGCAGTGCCTGGCGCCTCAGTCTGGTCTTGGCAGTGAGCGAGAGAGTTACAGTGAAGGATCAGTGCCTGGCGCCTCGGTCTGGTCTTGACAGTGACAGAGTTACAGTGAAGGATCAGTGCCTGGCGCCTCAGTCTGGTCTTGGCAGTGAGCGAGAGAGTTACAGTGAAGGATCAGTGCCTGGCGCCTCGGTCTGGTCTTGGCAGTGAGCGAGAGTGTTACAGTGAAGGATCAGTGCCTGGCGCCTCAGTCTGGTCTTGACAGTGAGTTACAGTGAAGGATCAGTGCCTGGTGCCTCAGTCTGGTCTTGACAGTGAGTTACAGTGAAGGATCAGTGCCTGGTGCCTCTGTCTGGTCTTGACAGTGACAGAGTTACAGTGAAGGATCAGTGCCTGGCGCCTCAGTCTGGTCTTGACAGTAAGTTACAGTGAAGGATCAGTGCCTGGCACCTCAGTCAGGTCTTGCCAGTGAGTTACAGTGAAGGATCAGTGCCTGGCACCTCAGTCTGGTCTTGACAGTAAGTTACAGTGAAGGATCAGTGCCTGGCACCTCAGTCTGGTCTTGACAGTGAGTTACAGTGAAAGGATCAGTGCCTGGCACTCAGTCTGGTCTTGACAGTGAGTTACAGTGAAGGATCAGTGCCTGGCACCTAAGTCAGGTCTTGACAGTGAGTTACAGTGAAGGATCAGTGCCTGGCACCTCAGTCAGGTCTTGACAGTGAGTTACAGTGAAGGATCAGTGCCTGGCACCTCAGTCTGGTCTTGACAGTAAGTTACAGTGAAGGATCAGTGCCTGGCACCCTTCAGTCTGGTCTTGGACAGTAAGTTACAGTGAAGGAAACAGTGCCTGGCACCTCAGTCTGGTCTTGACAGTGAGTTACAGTGAAGGATCAGTGCCTGGCACCTCAGTCTGGTCTTGACAGTGAGTTACAGTGAAGTATCAGTGCCTGGCACCTCAGTCTGGTCTTGACAGTAAGTTACAGTGAAGGATCAGTGCCTGGCCCCCTCCGTCTGGTCTTGACAGTGAGTTACAGTGAAGGATCAGTGCCTGGCACCTCAGTCTGGTCTTGAAAGTAAGTTACAGTGAAGGATCAGTGCCTGGCACCTCAGTCAGGTCTTGACAGTGAGTTACAGTGAAGGATCAGTGCCTGGCACCTCAGTCAGGTCTTGACAGTAAGTTACAGTGAAGGATCAGTGCCTGGCACCTCAGTCTGGTCTTGACAGTGAGTTACAGTGAAGGATCAGTGCCTGGCACCTCAGTTTTGGTCCCTTTACAGTGGTTACAGTGAAAGGGTCAGTGCCTGGCACCTCAGTCTGGTCTTGACAGTGAGTTACAGTGAAGGATCAGTGCCTGGCACCTCAGTCTGGTCTTCACAGTGAGTTACAGTGAAGGTTCAGTGCCTGGCACCATCAGTAGGTCTTGACAGTGAGTTACAGTGAAGGTTCAGTGCCTGGCACCTCAGTCAGGTCTTGACAGTGAGTTACAGTGAAGGTTCAGTGCCTGGCACCTCAGTCTGGTCTTGACAGTGAGTTACAGTGAAGGTTCAGTGCTATAACATGGAGACACATCCCTCAGACTTACACTTCTCACAGCCTCCACAGATTCTCCGGCCTCTCATAGGCCTCCTCCTCCTCCTCCAGATTTCCAGCGCCCTGGCCAGCAACCACAGCAATGGAACTCTTCAGATATGTGAGTTTACGAAATTTGGCCTATTTTAAATTTTTGTACGTTACTCGAGAACGCCTCGTCGGATAGGCTTGAAATTTCCAACCCTGGCGTACTATAAGGAGGACTGTTAGTGGTGCTGGTCAGTTTATAGGGACGAGTTATGCAAGCAAAGGTCACTGTAGAGCCCAGGTTTAAGGGAAGATACCCCGTGCCCGGGATGCCACCCGGGATGCCACCCGGGTATCTGTTTACTGCTGGGTGAACAGAGTAAGTCCAAGATATTACCAGTCCAAGATATTACCCTTCAAGAGGTGAACAATGGAACACAAGGTGATGAACTGTGTGTGTGGAACAAGTGTACACGAGGGACGGGGGGGGGGGGTTGTTACGGAAGATGGATCAATTAGGTCTGTTAGTGCTGGCATTGTTAGTGCTGCTGCTGCTGTGTTGTGAGAGTGGTGGTGGTGGTGGTGGTGGTACAACCCCCCGTACCTCTCTACCACCTCCACCCCCTCCACCACTACTACCACCATCACTACTACTATTACCATCACCACTACCACCACCATTACTACCACTACCATTGCCACCACTACCACCACCATTACTACCATTGGTACTACCATTTCCACCACCATACACGACTACTACCGCCATTCTACTACCATTACCACCATCGCCACCACCACTACCGCCACCACCACTACCACCACCACCACTACTACCATTACTACCACCATCGCCACCACCCACCACCACCATCACTACTACCCACTACCACCATCGCCACCACCACAAACCCTCACCACCACTACCACCATTACTACCACCACAATACCACCATCGCCACCACCACTACCACCACCATCACTACTACCCCTACAACCATCACTACCACTACTTCCACCACCATCACCACCACTAACACCACAACTACCACCACCACCACCACATCCTAGCAGCCCTAGCAAACAGCTCCTAGCAGTGAAAGGCTAGGTAAACAGTCCTCAGCCTTGAAGCACGCCTGCTCTTCTCGGATCAGTGGAGTCCTAGCTCCTGGGCCCTCCTACACACGTTCAGTCCTAGCTCCTGGGCCGTCCTAGGCACGTATTCTCGCTCTGTCTCCCAGTTTGTGTGCGTATTTACTGTGTACGCGTGCGTAGCGTGTGCGTTCCACCATGCGTACATAACGTGGCCTGTTGAGCGCATGTGCGTCTTCTGATGCGCACTGTGATCGTTAACTGATGCGTACATACCATGTGCGTTTTATGATAGCAAAGCGTGTGCGTTTCCTGACGCGTGCACGGCGTGTGCGTCTCCGTGTACACATGCCGTACGCAACATTCTCCAGACACGCGTCATGCATCGCTGCTCTTGCGTCAACCATGCATGAACTACCGTATATACTTAACTGTATATACCTAGCTGTGTATACCTAGCTGTGTATACCTAGCTGTGTATACCTAGTATATACCTAGCTGTGTATACCTAGCTGTGTATACCTAGCTCTGTATACCTAGTATATACCTGTATACCTAGTATATACCTGGCTATGTATACATAGTGTATACCTAGTGCTATATACATAGCTGTATATACCTACTAGTATATACCTGTGTATACCTAGTTGTTTATACCTGAGTATACCTAGTTGTTTATACCTGAGTATACTTAGTTGTTTATACCCGAGTATACCTAGTATATACATAGCTGTGTATACCTAGTAGTATATACCTAGTTTTATGTACCTAGCTGTATATACCTAGCTGTGTATACCTAATATATACCTAGGTGTATACACTGTGAAGGCTTACTCAGCCCTGTAACAACTTCAGACAGTATTACCAAGGCTGGCTCCTCCTCAGGAAAATTAATGAATAGAAAACGAATAATAACAGACATAAACACTTTATTATTTAGAAAATATAAAATATAAAACACTTAAATATGAAATACTGATCCTACATTTAAGAAAATGAAAAATGAAAAATATAAATATCTGAATTCAATCGTAGCCGCTGCTGATGATGGGGGGGTCGCAGGTGTTGGTGACAACCCACCGGCTCGTTCTTCACAGTATAGCCGGGATTAATCCGTCCAGATGACAGGAAAGCAGGGTTTTTTTTCCACTGCAATTATGAGGGGTTATATCCTGCTACTTGCATACATAAATAGGTAAGTGGATCTGAATTTGGGACATCTCAGGACGTTAGTCCATCTCCTTCAATTCTACTCGTTGATTGGCAGGTGACCCTCTCTGTCATCCAAGCTGGAAAGATAGACAGATTACCCACTGCTTAAATAATCACTCTCCATGATAAGTACAATAAAAGATGTGGTGATTATTACAACAGTCAACTTAGAGCAAGGCTGAAAGGACTAAGTTTATTATTGGTCAAAAGTGAAGCTTTCAACCAATAAATCCACTAGAATACAAGGCAGGCATGTACTTACAGTAGTGCTGGGAGCTGTGAGTCTAGTAATCACTGTTTGGACCGGAGCCCCACACGTCACCTTTCGGGGGGGGGGGAAGAGGGAGGGGAAGGGATAGCAGGAGCTAGACTGACTCTACCTTAACAAGTAGCCGGCAATGAAACTATTGTTACTATATACTCCATCGCTACTCCTATCTATTGAACTTTTCCCTCACATACACTAAGTCATTCTAAAGTTCAAGAGCCCAGTTAAGTTCTTCAAGCTTGTTAACATTAAGCTCAGATTAATTCTCCAAACTTTGCAACACATGTCACTAAGTTCCCTCAACTTAGAAGACGCTGGCACCACGGGCACTGTGCCCAGGCTCATGGAACTACAAGAACTGCAACTATGCTAACAGCCCCATTCAAGGCAGGTGAACAACTGCAGTTCTAATGTACAGAGAACCTTCACTGTACGTGTAAGTTCAATCAAGTACCTTAATTACTAGAAATGTTTGAAATCCCTTGACTTGTACTCCCTGGATCACAGGCGAGAAAGACATCATAATTTACACTTGAAAAAATTTAGACCTGTTAGTTCCAAATCTGCACACAGAAATCGTTCCGGATGCAAGCAAGAAGCTGCCATACTATGCAACATATCCTTACTGTGGAGCAGGAGTGTCATGAACATAAGAACATAAGAATGGAGGAACACTGTAGAAGGCCTACTGGCCCATACGAGGCAGGTCCTTATCAAAAACGCATTACCTAAGCTACTAAAGGAAATAACCCCCGTACCCTTGACACCAATCAAACCCAGCCCTCCCACCTCTTTTTGCCCAAGTCTCTTCAAAAGGCTACCCAGGTCCTAGCCTCTTTTACCCCACTGGGAAGACTGTTCCCGCATCTAAATCTGTTAGAAAACGTACTTACCTATGTCTTTTTTAATTCTAAATTTATCCAACTTAAACATTATTCCTGGTTTTACCTGGTTGGAGGTTATGGGGGCAGGGGTGGGAGGTTATGTGAGGGCAGGGGTGGTGGAGGTTATGTGAGGCCATGGGGTGGGGGTTTTAAGTGAGGAAGGGGTGGGGGTTATGTGAGGAAGGGGGTGGGAGGTTTGGTGAAGAAGGGGTGGGAGGGTAGGGTCAGAGTGCGCTACTGGGAAACATAACCGGAGGTATACCTGCCTTTTCCTCGTGTTTGTGACCGGATACAGTGAAGGTCCCGCAAAACCTATGTATCCTATTGTGTTGTAGCGGTGTGTAGTGTGCTAGTAGGGTGTGTAGTGTGCCAGTAGGGTGTATAGTGTCCCAAAAGTAGGGTGTTTTTAGTGTGCCAGTAGGGTGTGTAGTGTGCCAGTAGGGTGTGTAGTGTGCTAGTAGGGTGTGTAGTGTGCCAGTAGGGTGTGTAGTGTGCCAGTAGGGTGTGTAGTGTGCCAGTAGGGTGTGTATGTAGTGTGCTGTAGGGTGTGTAGTGTGCCAGTTAGGGTGTGTAGTGTGCCAGTAAGGGTGTGTATTTGTGCCAGTAGGGTGTGTAGTGTGCCAGTAGGGTGTGTAGGTGCCATTTAGGGTGTGTGTAGGTTTTTGTAGTGTGGCCAGTAGGGTGTGTAGTGTGCCAGTAGGGTGTGTAGTGTGCCAGTAGGGTTTTTTTAGTGTGCTAGTAGGGTGTGTAGTGTGCCAGTAGGGTGTTGTAGTGTGCCATTTAGGGTGTTTTAGTTGTGCTAGTAGGGATGTGTAGTGTGCCAGTAGGGTGTTGTAGTGTGCTAGTAGGGTGTGAGTGTGCCAAGTAGGGTTTTTTGTTAGTGTGCTAGTAGGATGTGTAGTGTGCCAGTAGGGTGTTTTAGTGTGCTGTAGGATGTGTAGTGTGCATAGGGTTTTTGTTGTGTGCCAGTAGGGTGTTTTGGGGTGTGCCAGTAGGGTGTGTCAGTGTGACTGTAGGGTGTTTTAGTGTGTAGAAAGGGTGTGTCTGTGTGTGAAAGTAGGGTGTTTTAGTGTGCTAGTAGGGTGGTTGCAGTGTGCCAGTAGGGTGTGTAGTGTGCTAGTAGGGTGTGTAGTGGGCCAGTAGGGTGTTTAGTGTGCCAGTAGGGTGTTTGTAGTGTGCCAGTAGGGTGGGGTAGTGTGTATTTGGGGTGTTGTAGTGTGCTAGTAGGGTTTTGTAGTGTGCCAGTAGGGTGTGTAGTGTCCCTATATAGGGTGTGTAGTGTGCTAGTAGGGTGTTTTAGTGTGCTAGTAGGGTGTGTGGTGTTGCCAGGGTTGTGTAGTGTGCTAGTAGGGTGTGTAGTGTGCCAGTAGGTGTGTAGTGTGCAGTAGGATGTGTACTGTGCCAGTAGGGTGTGTAGTGTGCATTTAGGGTGTGTTTAGTGTGCTAGTAGGGTGTGTATTGTGCCAGTCGGGTGTTGTTAGTTTTGCCAGTGGGTGTGTAGTGTGCTAGTGGGTGTGTATTTGTGCCAATTTAGGGTGTGTAGTGTGCAGTAGGGTGTGTAGTGTGCTGTAGGGTGTGTAGTGTGCCAGTGGGGTTTGTGTAGTTTTGCCAGTTGGTGGTGTAGTGTTGTTAGGGGTTGTGTAGTGTGCCAGTAGGGTGTGTAGTGTGCAGTAGGGT